ATATATATATATATATATATATATATATTCTAAAATTACTAAATTTTTAATGGGAAATACTAAAATCACACAATTATAATAATTTAGGGACAAAAATTGTTTAATTAAAAATTAAGGGACTAAAATCATATAATTACAATCTTTTAAGGAATAAAATTACTTAATTAAAATCTTAAGAATCAAATTTACACAATTACAATACTTGAGAGATCAAAAGCACAATTAAGACTAGTTTTAGTTATTGTTTTGTTTATCCATCTATATATATATATATATATATCCCTAGGACACGCCCATTAATTGCTCGAGCCTATTTCTTTATCCCTTCAATGTTCGGTCATTTTATCTCACTTAAATTTCCTTAACCCGTCATTTTCTTCACTTTGATAATTCTATCTTGAATTATTGCCATGTGTGTTGATGCATGAGATGGATTCCTTCAATGGATCACATGTACACTGTGGTTTGAATTGATTTCATAAATTAACAAAACGTGATTGCAAATGGTGTGATGAATTGAGTGGTAGATTTCAGGTTAATTGTTAAATGCTGATTAATTGGTATTAGAAGTGAAAATTGGACTCTTCCCACTCTTTTTTGTCCAACATGGCCTATTCAAGAGGTATCAATTATGATTTTTTTTTAGTTGCTAATATATTATTAAAAATAACAAATTTAGGATAAGATCAATAATTCCAACTATATTGATATCTTCTCAATTAAGAAGGATATCATAATTTTTGTTTATTTCCTTAAGAAAAAAGTATAATTCATTTTTAACAGATCATGAACTATAAATATAAAATGATACTTTTAATTGCGATTTTCTTTTATCCAAATTAGATATTAATTTTGGATCGTTATTTAAGAATCACATGTATATAAAATATGGGGTGAACTTAACAGCTAAAAAAAATTAAAGAAAAAAGAAAATGGGTTTTATTCACAGCAGTTCATAACTATTATATGATATACAATAATCATCAAATTTACTTCACACACTTTCAGAGGACTGCAACCATAGCAACACCAACAAGCCTGTTGGGCCCATTGGGCTAGCAAATCCCCTAAGGCCCTAACCACCTTTTTGAAGGGGATCATGATATATACACCTGTTTTTTTTTTTTTTTTTTTAAGTACACCCCCTTTTAAAAAAAAATTAAAATTTTAAGATATCCTTAATTTTTTTATTATTTTTAATTTTACACTCCTAATATTTAATTTAATACTTTTTTTTTTACATATCTCTTTTCCTTATTTTCACATGCACTCCATTAATTTTTCTTCACCCCACCTATTTTAGTAGGTAATTTTAATTATTTTAGTTTTACATTATTTTTTTTTCTTTCCTCTTCTAGTTTTCTCACTGATTTCACTATCTGCATAGTACTCTAGAATAGTGAAAATGTTTTTTTTTCATAACACTAAATTTGATGTTAAAGTTTTTGGATGAGTAAAAGGAAAAGAAGTGTTGAAAGAAAAAATATGTGTCTAGTTTGATAGAAATTATCGAGGAAGCTACACTTATCGACAATGTTGTCGCTTATCAGTTCTATGATTTGAATGCATGTGAAAAAGTGAAAGAAGTGAGAAAATAAGAGTATAATATAAAAATTAAGAGAACTAAAACTATCCACTGAAAATGTGATAAATTAGAGGAAAATAAGATGATGTATGTGAAAACTGGAAAAGAGAAGGAAGGAGATGTGTGAAAAGAAAAATTAGTAAATTAAAAATTGTAGATGTAAAATTAAAATTTTTAAAAATAAAAAGAATTATGAATATTTTAAAATTTTTTATAAATAAAAATAAAAGAGGTGTACTTAAGTGTATATATCATTAGTCTTTTGAAGGTTAGAGAACTCAAATTACAAGCATCTTGGGCCGGGCAAGCCCCAATGTTTTTCTTACACCTATCACCCATCAAAGCTCCTGTGAAAAAAAAAATGAAATATATAATAAAAATGGAATAGATGAGAAGGTTACAACTTACAAGCATCTATAAAGTAAAAATAATTTTAATTTTTTTTTTGGATGAGGAGGTCATACATCGAAAACTCAAACAATTTTACACCGTTAATTAATAATATACATATCATTTTATATATTTTGTGTCATATTTCTTTTATAGATTACATATTAATAATGTTTTTATATTAACAGGAATTGAATCCACAATTTTTTTTTTAAGATATGAGTCTGTTTCTTATTTATTAGACCAACTTTTAAATGATAGTGTAAAAGTATTGTACATTGTGTATTTTTTTTTTCGAAAAATAAAACGCTTATAAAACTAAAATTATTCTAATTTATATATAGAATGATAATATTTAAAATAATTTTTAATTATTTAATGATATAAACATTCTTATAATGACTAAAAATTAAAGTGTAAAATAAGTTCTTAATGTGGATTAAAATCTAATTGGAATAGAACTTCTAATTAAATTCTTCAATTTAAAGTATTTTTTCTACAGATTTTTAGTTTAAGGTTGTTTAATACATTATTAAGATTAAATCACACTTTCTTCATTCATTTTATTTAATTTGATTGCTTAATTTTCTTAAAAATGCAATATGTTTTTTCTGTTTAATTATAACTAGCAATTTTAATTTCCCGCACTTGTAGTGATACATTTTTTTAATGTGCACATGTATAAAATTTTTTAGATTATTAGAGCATCTGCAATGTGGGTTGTTTATAAGTAATTTCTTGTGGCACATCACTGTCACATCATCTCTGACCCATCTTATGGGTTGCTTAAATTTTAACAGAGTTACTTGTAGAAACAACCCTAAACCCATAAAGTGGGTTAGAACTGATTTAGCAGGGATATGGTATAGAGATTATTTATAAGTCTCATTGGAGATGTTATTAAGTCCCATTGGAGATGTTATTAAGTCCCATTGGAGATGTTATTAGTCTTTACTATATTACACTTTTTCAAAAAAATTAAGTAATTAAATTTAACCTTTTAACAAAAAAGAGATTAAATTAAATAAATTGAGAAACAAATCGAATAATTTAACATATTATTAAAGATATATCAAAATTATTTAAAAACAAAAACTTTTTATAAACTATCGAAACTCTCGTAGTCTTGTTGCCATGAGCTGTGGAACCGGTCAATTCAAAAGTTCAAAAGATTACAAGCAGAAGAAGCTCCCTCGCCGCCGCAGAACCCTAATCCGAGTTCCCTCGCCGTGCCGGAGCACCGTTCCAACGCCGTCGCTGGTTGGTTACTCTTTCTTCTTTCCACACACATCTATTCTAACTCGTGAATTATCCAACATTACTCATAAGCTTCAATTTCAATTCACTTTCAAAATAATCTTCCATCTCGTTCGATTTTCCTCAACCTAGATTATTTTGCTATGCCATGCTTTTGAAGTTTCTGTTCGAAACTTTTTTTTTTCTCTGTTGCTGTAGCGCTACCGTTAACTGTTTTCCGTTCCTATTTTCTTTTCACTCACTGAATGCAACACTATGCAGGGAAACCGTTGAAACAAAACTCTAGCGCCATGAAGACTCCACAAAGTGCGTCTAAATTGAAAAGGTAATGCTAATGGTTTTGTTTGTTCTAACTGGAGGTGTCTTAAATCGGACATTTGTGTGTTCTCATTGTGGTTTAGAGCTTAGTGCGTGTTTGGTTTAGGAATTAGCTTACTTTGAAGAAATAGTCGCATTTTGAGAGAGCTTTTGAAAGATAATATGTTACCAATTACCAAACTGCATGTATTATTAATAAGTTCACCCTGTGAAAGCTCTCTTAATTGTATAGTCATGATGAAATAAAACTTGTATGATTTCATTACTCTACCAAGCATGTAACAATGAAAATCAAAATTAAAAAATTCCTAGTTCATGCTGCAGCTTTCTTGCCGTTGCTTTATCTTGGCTTTCATTCAGGTGGGGATTTTTTTTAATTTTTTTTATTTTTTAAATAAAAGAAATTAAATTCTTGCTATTCATTCTGTTTAAGTGTGTTTGTAAACTTTGAGTTTCAGTGATCCCTGATAATTTACTCCTTTGTTTAAATGATTGATTAAATGTTATATATTATTAAATGTTTTATAAGGCTTATATAGAACTTTGTTTTGTTTTGTTGGAGTTCCTAAAGGTTAAAAATTTGCATTGCTATCTGCCCCTTTTTCAGGAAAAGGGAAGAAGGTAAAGGTAAGAAAAAAAAGAAAGAAGGCAATAAGCAGGAAAAAAGGAAAATTGCAGATGTCCCTAAATCTCGTAGCATGCTGGAGGATGTCCATGATGAAGGGGAAGGTGAGATTAAACATATTTTGAAATTATATATTTATTTGAAAGGCAAAAACTTTGATATGTGCTGCAAATATTTACTTGTTAGGTTTTCATTATTTGTTTTTTTTCTGTAAGGCTATATTGTGTTTATGATCAGGTTCATACAATTTTCTTATTGGCCATAGGTCTTTAATTAAATGCTGTACTTGATCCTATTATTTTTTTTTTTTTATAGAAGCACAAGTAGTAAAATCCTTCTGTCAGGTCATTATTATATAAATAAGTGTAATTATTTGTTTCTGATTGCATGCTCTGGCACACTGACTGATTAATGATTATTTGTTTTTCTGCAGTCTCCCATTTTTCACTAGCATAAGATAATTTATCTTTTTGATGAAGCTGTTGCTCTTTGTTTTCTTAGGGTTTGACAATGAGTCTCCTAGTAGCAAAGTTACGGAAAGTTTGTGGCAAGATCCTGATGACAATGATTCTGGATTAATAGAAGGTTCTGAAACCGAAGAAGATGTTGGGTTTCATTCAGATGAAGAAGATATTGTAATTAATGGTCGACTGACTTCTGAAGATTCAGTGCAGTTGAGGTTTGTTAATATTAATTATCTTTTATCTTTTTCCTCAGGGATAGAGCAAACTTCCCTAGAGAGAAACTAAAACAAGGGGGGAGGAATAAGGTATCCTGACTATCCTCTGAAACATAGAGGTCAATATAAAGAAAAGGGCTAAGTGGCTGTTAGATGCGTCAGAACTCTTTTCATTCTCTTTTAACATTTTTTTTTTTCTGAATTCTTTTATAACTGGTTTCCATGTTATTGTTTTATTAATTGTGTCATTTATAATTTTGACCACTTGCCTGTTCTATGATTTGTTTTGCGATGAATTTGGTTATTACTGATTGGTTACTTGACAGTGTATTCTTTTGTAACATCAATCATATATATTTTCTATACGTTTTCCTTGCTAGGTCATCCTTTAATCCGACATTGTTTTTTCCATGCAGTTCTTTTGATTTACATTTGCAACATGATTTATCCAAAGAAGAAATTGACAGTGAAAGGAACAGGAAATTTAGCTGGGAGACTCCAGCTATTGGTTTGTCAAATTGCAAATGGACAGGAACTGGAGAGAACATTTTGGAGGTATTTCATGTTATTATATTCTTTTGGTACATCGTATATGCAAGATTTCATGTCTCTGCAACCTCTGTGAAAACACAAAATTTAGTACAATTTCAAAGCCATCTGCCAATCAGTAGCCATGAAGTAATGGGGAATGGTTGGCTTTGGCACACTGCAATGCTACATTTTCTTTAATGGTGGTCTTTCATCACTTTCTATTTATGTCTTGCCCTCAAATAGATGATGTCGTGTCAGGTGAGAAAATCTAATTAGATATTGAGCGTGGTCAATGTTGATGCCCTTTACCCATTGTTTTTTTGAAGTAAAAGGACCAGTTGACTTTTTCTTTGCATCCCAATTTGTGAGGTTACTATTTAAGTTGATTATTGTAAATTGAGTCAATGTTATGTTGTCTACTTACTGTCTGCTTGGAGATATTGATTAGTTGCCTTTGCCTATTCAGTGAAATAAAATACAACGGTTTGTTTCAAATGGAATGGACAATTTTCTTTTGTCATTGTATCAGCCATATATTGGCTTTGTTGTAATTTTTTTATCACGTAAAATCCACTCACATCACAAATTCAGAATCTTACACTGTCTTATAAAAGATATGTTCATCCTTCATTTTGCTGAAGGCTTCAAATACATATTACATTGTTCTCTCTTGCTATCTTGTTTAGGATTTGGATATCAATTCTTGTCATGGTCTCAAAGCAAAGTTGTCTGAGCATTGGATGGATGTATACAAGACATCTGGAGGCAAAGATATTAGTTCTCCTAAACAAAAGATGTTTTTCTCCCTTTGTAAGTTGATTTCAAATCATTACATTATGAGCTTTGTGCATTTGCAATAATAATTATTAAATGCCTAAATCCTCCCATTAGTGTATTTAGATTTTTATCATTAATGTTTGCTTCACCATGGGTGCGTTTAAGATTCTGTTTCTTCTAATATCATAAAATTATACTATTTCTTCTATTTTTCTAAAAATATTTCTTGTCTGATAGGGGATTATGTTGGTTATTTAGGGAAATTGCAAAATGCCAAATAAAGTAGTTAATGACTTTTCCACTTTTGATTTTTTTTATCGTTTTATTGGCAATTACTTCATGTTGACTTGGTTCCAGGCAGCAGCTACAGGGATATACTTTACTGTAACAAGAGGCCTTTCTATCTCAAAGGGCTTGAAGATGCAAGCATCATGGATGCATACATAATGCATTCTGTAAGTATATTTCCCTTTCATTCTATATAAAATTATAGCTTGTAAGCGTCTTTGACATAGTGATTATTATGCACAGCTCAATCATGTCTTCAAAACTAGAGACTGTGTGAAAACAAATGATGCCAAACTGACCAAGCTTAAAGAGAATGCTGATAGTGATAGATTTCGAGATCAGGGCTTTACTCGTCCTAAGGTTAAGGAGTCTTACTTGTTTCTTTATTACAAATTTATATTTATTATAATTGCATTTGTCACTTCAAATCTTTAATCAGTGTTCTGCAATTTATATTTCCATTTACTATACTTGTTTCCTTTTGAATTGTAGAAAACAAGCATACTTTATTTATTTATTTTAATATAATAATTAATTGATTTAGTATTCCTTGAAATACATATTTCTTTGTGATTTGAAAATACTCCCTCCTCCCCCCTCTTCTTTGTCACATGTTTAATTGATAAACTTAGTATTCCTTTAAAATGAACTTAAAGTTAGAAGTAAGCTTCTATTTAATATTTGCTAAACATATTTTATGTATGTTTTTTCTGTTTCATGCTACAGGTTTTAATTTTATTGCCATTGTCAAGCATTGTATATCGTGTTGTAAAGAGGCTTATACAGCTCACACCTTCAGCTTACAAGGTATTTTGATGTTCTCTCCTTTGTTTTTTTGAAATGTATAGTCAAGCTAAGCTAACCATCGTGTTGACCCTTGAACATTGCATAATATCAATGAATGTTTTGGACAATGAAATATTTTCTAAATTTTCAAGCTGGGAATTTGAATCGATTTTTTTGCATAACACGTTTATTAATGAATTAAATGACATACTTTTAAAGTATAATTCCATAAAATTTAGCTAGATGTCTTTACTTGTGCTGTTGTACTTGTGCATCTCCCGTAGGATCAAAAATACTTGTTCTGCTTTGGTGCTGATTTCTGCTCCATGTTTTCTTTTATGGGTGTTCTATATTTCTATGCTCTTTTTAATACTACATCTAGTCCTAATTATAAGCAACAAATTTAATTTTTCTTTGGTCCTAAATATAAGCAATAATCATTAGTTTTTAAAATTACTTGGGTTAAATTTCTTTTGTACCCTTCATTTATTATTAACTCTATTTCCTATGCATCTACTTATAACTAACATTAAATATGACAACTACTTAAAGTAAATGGTATATTTGGAATAAAAATTGAATTTATGGTAGAATTAATTAAAACTAATCATATTAATTACTTTTTTAGATCTTGATAATTTGTCCTATGTTGCTTATAATTAGGACTGATGGTAGTAATATTTTCTATTATAAAATAATAAAGTAAAAGCATAAACTAAGAAATAGAAAGAGAGAAACATTACAAAGAAAAGAGAATGGTCTATGCTCCCTTAATTAAGCAGAAATTAATAAAAAGATGGAGTTTAATAGAAAAGAGCTCCCCCAAGCTGTATGAAGTTTGATTGTCTACTAGAAACTTCTTGATATATACCGTGAGCAAGGCAGCTAAGCTCCAAGGAGAGTCTTTACTCCTAAAAAAATAATTGAATATTATACTGATTAATTGTTTCCTATTTAGATGTGATAGGAGACCTGTGGTTAAACAGGTCTATGTTAGGAGGGAAAAGGGAGGCAGTTAGTTATTTTTAATAACTAACTGATAACAGTCCTGTAGGGACTGTTATATTGTATAAATAAGAAGAAATAAGGGCTGGAGAAAATATTGTAATGTTGGGAGAGTAGGCACTCTCGAAATTGCCTTGTATGACTGAAATTGACTGAGTTGGAGTGGCTCAGCAAGGGGGTCAATAAAAATCTTGCAGACATCTTTTGTTTTCTTCACGATCTCTCTCTCTTTACCAGTTGATTCTATCAAGATGTTTGCAATGGGCTTGCATCAATACTTTTTTAGTACAATTTAACAACAGTATTTGTCAGTCAAAAGTAGATACAACATGATATACAACTCATGCATGAGGTTTTCTTAATGTTAATATTGAAATTTTTAATGGCCGGTCAGGTTATGTAATACTTAGATAGTGTTTGACCTACCTTATTTTGGGTTTCTCTTCTCCTTTAAAGGAGAAGTCAGACCAAACAAAATTTTAAAAAATAGTTGTTAAAAAATAGCTTTTTTTAAAATGAAGAAAACTTAAAAAGATAAGTATCTTTTAAAAAAAACTAGTTTTAGGAGCTTTTACTTCACCTTTTTCCGTTTCTTTCTATATTCCAAATCCTAGGGTTTGGGAACTCATTAACTTAGAAATTATACTTTTAAGCTTAAAAAATTAACCCCCATTATAAAGAACTTTCAACTGAATCACACGGACCAATATAAGTTGTTATATTAGGTGATTTTATTAGATTTATAAAACAAAATAACAATGTAACAATTTGACCCTTCTTATCATTAAGTTTTTATGGGAGAGGTGAAAATATTACTCTGTCAAAGCATATGCACAATACCAATAAAATTGATAAATGACAATTGGAGAGTTTAAGAGGTGAGAGAGAACATTTATTTCTCAAATTCTCTTCTAATTATTTAACAAGAAACATATATTCTCATAATCTTTAGTAGGGGCAAATTATGAAATATAAAATTAATGTTCTATAGAAGTTATATAGTGCCTTATAAAAGAACCACGATTTCCTTTTATTGTGCTTTATAATAAGGATTGGAGGGAGTATAAAGTTAACCAACAACACAAACTTATGAACTCAGTATTTGGAGTCTTATGTTGTTTTATTCTTGTGTTTTAGGGTTTCTTCTGATTAATTATTCTAATTCTAATCCATATTTGGCATCGTAAGTTCTGATTCTAGCCCTAGGTTGAAGTTGGAAATTTTTCTTGCATCAATAGATAATTGTTTGAAATTGGGGGACGTCAATTTTTTGGTTATGTAGTTTTTAAGTAAAATTAGAGTGGTAGGGCTGTATACACTACCCTCCCTAGACTTCACTTATTATGAGCCTCATGCACTTGGTTGCCCCTTTTCAAATTAGTGATACTAAAGAGTTTTAGTCAATATGCTAGGTAAAAATTCAGTAGGGAACATAAGCATTTAATTTTTTGCAAAAATAATGTCTTCAGCTAATATCAATTAAATGTTCAGCTGATGTTAGCCTTTTATTTACATTTGAATGTTATATTCCCTCTCTGTACAAATTGGATGTACTTTTCTGTAATGAGTGACTTCTAGAGAAATCCTATGAATAATCAGAAAATAAAGAATTATGTAGTTGTCATTTATTTTCCTTCTATTTAAGAATATTTCTGTGATATTATTATAGTGTTTTTATCTGATTTTGAACAAGGTTAGCTATGATTGCATTGGGTTGGTCTAGAATGTGAGAAGGTCTACAAATGCTTGTATAGTGTATATAACTCCAATTCATTTTATTGATTTCAATGCATATCAAATTGCACGGGTAGTGAAATTCTAAGACCAGCAATATATGTCTCCATTGAACCTTCATTTGAACTTGGTAGTCTGAAATGGTAGCTAGTACACAACTTTGTGCTCAAGTTTTTGGCCATTGACTCCTTGTTGCCAGTGTTTCTTATTAATATTATCCATCTTATTATATTGTATTGCATCTCCTTGAGCAATATAAACAATTCCGTTGGTCCTTTATGACACTTGTGTTTGTTTTGTCAGGTCAATGTTGAACATATGGATCGTTTTTCAACAAAATTTGGAAGTGAAGAACATAAAGGTGATATAGAAAATGGCGAAGAGTCTGAAAATGCAAAACCTCACAATTCTTCCAAGCCGTCTGACTTTCAAATACTTTTTGGTGGCAATAATGAGGATGACTTTATGATTGGCATCAAATTTACTAGGTAACTATACTCTTACAGTGTAGCATTGTTTGTTCGCTTTCCTTTTACAAGATATGTTGTGGAATCTTGTAGAAGTCTGCCATCAACATCTGTTTTTGTACTCGTCACTCCATGTTATTTGTGGTTATTTTTTCAATTGGTGAGTGGTTGAAGCCAATGGTTGATGTGGGCACTGTCGGGGTTCCAAAACAACTACAACAAAAGCCTTATTCCACTAAATGAGGCTGGCTACATGGATCACCCTATGTCATTCGGCTTGGACCAAATCCTTAGAGATATTATTTACCATGAGATCCCTCTTAACAATTTCTCCAATGTTCTTGTTCCTTCTCCCCTCTTTTTGTATGACTAAACACTATGTAATTAATCTTCTCATCAGTGTTTCTAGTGACTTTTTTTGTATATGTTCCAACCACCTTAAAATGATTTTCTGTAATCTTTTCTCGATTGCTACTTCACCAATATCTCTTTATATGTATCACAAAGAAAAAGGAAGGGAAATAGCATATGAATTAATTGACATTGTAATAACCACCTACAATCAACAATAGAATGAAACACCAATAAATTTGCCTCAAACAACTCTAACCTCTCGTTTGCATTCTCAAGTAATAATTTACAAAGCATGCACACTCATTATAATTTCATGGATTGAAAATCTATCCCTTAAAATTACAAAATCATTTCAAATAAAATGATTAAAGGTAATAATTTATTGTAGATTTTTTTAATAAATTTTTTTATAAAAATAAAAAATAAAACACAAATAAATTATAAGGTGCCATTACAAAAATAAAAAGGCAGAGAAAGTAACATGCTGCATAAAATTGTGGCCAACAAACTTGTATTTTATTCATTATGAAAAGTGACTATATATATACATGTAGAGAGGAAAAGCTCATAACAGAAAGTTGTTACATAAATTATTATCAGAAGTGGAAGAAATCATTCTTCTTCTTATTATTCAAATGATTGGTCTAGTACATAAATAGGTAAAACAGGGAAATAAAAAAGGAAACAAATAATAGGCAATTCCTATAATTAAATAGTAATCCCTATAAATCAGTAACAACAATAAAGAATAAATCATAGATCCTAATCCCTGAAATTCTGCAACATAATAATATCCCATAAATTTTGGGATTTCTATCCAACACTCCCCCTCAAGCTGGTGAATAGATGCTAGTCATTCCTAGCTTGCTAATATTAGACTCAAAATCTGACTTCAACAAAGCCTTTGTCAGCAGGTCTGCTTCTTGTAATTTGGTTGGAACATAATGTAGAGAAAATGTACCATTTTCCATTTCTGACTTGATGAAGTTTCTGTCAATTCTTACATGTTTCATCCTGTCATGTTGCACTGGGTTATGTACTATGTTTATGGCTGACTTGCTATCACTGTACAGTTTCACAGGCTCTTGAAGGGGAATAAATAAATCATGTAATAATCTTTTTATCCAAATCAGTTCACAAACTCCTTGAGCAATTGCTCTATATTCAGCCTCTGCACTGCTTCTTGCAACAACCGATTGTTTTTTACTTCTCCATGTCACTAGGTTTCCCCATACTTTTGTACAGTATCCTGTGGTAGATTTTGAATCTTCAATTGAACCTGCCCAATCAGCATCTGCAAAACACTCTACACTTCTGTGTTCATTTTTTCTGAACAGTAATCCCTTTCCAGGAGTACTTTTGAGATAACGAAGAATCTGATTTACAGCATCCAAATGCCTCTTCCTAGGAGAATGCATAAATTGACTTACCACACTAACACTGTAGGCAATATCTGGTCTAGTGAGAGATAGGTAGATTAGTTTTCCTACAAGGCGTTGATATCTCTCCTTTTCAACTAGAGGATCATCTTCAATAATCTTGTGCTTCCAATTTCGATCTAGGGGAGTTGTTGCAGGTCTACACCCCAGTTTCCCTGTTTCTCGAAGCAAATCAAGAGTGTACTTCCTTTGTGAGATGAAAATACCTTTCTTGCTTCTAGCTATTTCCATCCCAAGAAAGTATTGAAGCTGCCCAAGATCTTTAACCTTGAATTCTGCTTGCAAACAACTTTTGAGATTGTCAATTTCTTGATTGTCATCACCTGTGATTACCATGTCATCTACATAGACAATAAGAATAGCCCTTCTTTCATCTTTGGATTTTTTTACAAAAAGGGTGTGGTCTGCTTGGCTTTGAACATAGCCAAGTTGTTTCATAGTAGTGCTGAATCTTGTGAACCAGGCCCTTGGGGACTGTTTCAGTCCATACAGGGACTTATTTAACCTGCACACAACATCATTATTTTCTCCTTCAAATCCAGGGGGCAATTTCATATAAACTTCCTCCTCCAACTTCCCATTCAAGAAAGCATTCTTCACATCTAATTGGTGTAGTTTCCAATCCAGATTTGCTGCAAGAGAAATGAGAATTCTAATAGAATTAAGTTTTGCAACTGGTGCAAATGTTTCTTCATAATCTATACCATGGGTTTGGGTATAGCCTTGGGCCACTAGCCTCGCCTTATACCTGTCTATCTTCCCATCTGCACCCATTTTTGTGGTAAATATCCATCTGCAGCCCACAACTTTCTTCTCCTTGGGCAGCTTGACAATATCCCAGGTCTTATTTTCTTCTAGTGCAGCCATTTCCTCTAGGACAGCAGCTCTCCATTTTTCGTCTTTAAGAGCATCAAAGACAGTGTTTGGGATCTGAACTCTATCCAATTCTGTAACAAAAGCTCTATATCTCGGAGATAGGTTAGAATATGTGAGGAAATTTGATATAGAATGCTTTGTACAAGATCTAACTCCTTTTCGTAATGCAATAGGCAAGTCAAATTCATCCATAGTATCATTTTCAACATTAAGATTTTCAACTGCACAATTACCTTCAGTGTTACAGTCTATTGCTTCCACATGATTTGGCTCCAAGTCTGAAGATTGACCTTGCAAAGGAACATTATGTCTCCTAGTGTAGAATTTTGGAAAAAATTTGAACTCATTTTGAGTCCTCTTTTCTAATTCTCCCCCTTGACTGGTTATTGGTGTAGATTCTGTTTCAGATTCTTTTTGTATAGGTTCAGGTAAAGGAAGAGAAATTGGAAGAGAGATGGAAGGATCCCAATGATGAGGTTCAATCATATTCTCCCCCTGAAACGAATCATTGTGAAAGAAAGGTTGATTTTCAAGAAAAGTGATATCACATGATATGTAGAACCTTTTGGATTTTGGGCAGTAACATTTGTACCCTTTTTGTGTGGGAGAATAGCCAAGGAATATACATTTATGAGATTTTGGATCCAGTTTTCCTCTTGTAGGACTTGAGTTATGAACAAAGACTGTACACCCGAATATTTTTGGTTGAATAGACTCCAACATTCTGACTAAAGGAAAAAAACTTTTTAGACAGTTAAGAGGGGTTAAAAATTGGAGAGGTTTGGAGGGAAGACGATTGATAAGATAGGTAGCAGTTAACACAGCTTCTCCCCAAAAATGGTTGGGAACATTTGTGGTGAACATAAGAGAACGAGCAACCTCCAAAATGTGCCGATTTTTTCTTTCAGCAACCCCGTTTTGTTGCGGGGTATGATTGCAAGAACTTTGATGGAATATGCCATGTTCCTGTAGGTAACCATTAAGATCATTAGAGAAGTATTCCCGCCCATTATCAGTACGAAGGATGTGAATTGAGGAGCCAAAAATATTGGTGACAAGTTTATGAAACTGTTTAAAGGTTGTGCTGGCTTCAGATTTTTCTTTCAAGAGGTACACCCAACACACACGAGTATGGTCATCTATAAAGGTGATAAACCATCTAGCTCCATTTATGTTAGGAATTCGAGAAGGACCCCATATGTCACTATGAATGAGGTGGAAGGGTTGTGATGGTTGATAGGGATGAGAGGGATAATTAGTTCGAGATTGTTTTGCAAGAATGCAATGTTCACACCTAAAAGAAGAAATATTTTTATTGATGAATAAATCTGGATACAAGTGTTTCAAATAATTGAAATTAGGGTGACCAAGACGGTTGTGCCATAGAAAAACATTTGAATCTGACACGGTTGATAGGGAGATGGTTTGAGGAGAATCCGACTTTGATGGTGAATTAGATACAAAGTACAGACCATTATGTTCCTTAGCACTGCCAATCATCATCCCCGAAGACAAATCCTGAAAAATACAGTGAGAAGGGTAAAAAATTATTGCACAATTTAGATCTTTAGTCAATTTACTGGCAGATATGAGACTGTATTTTAATTCAGGAACATAAAGGACAGATTTTAGTTTTAGTCCTGACAGGTTTAAGTCACCAGTACCAGCTACCATTGATGAATTACCGTCAGCTACTGTAATAGTAACACCTTTATCAGCTTTCTTGTATGACGTAAAGTCAGCCAATGACCCTGTCATATGGTCAGTAGCTCCGGAATCTAGGATCCATTCTCCTGTATTTTCCTGTCTAGACAAGAAAGAAAACTGACCATTACCTTTGTGAGCAATGTTTGCTGTAGAGTTTGCTGGTGCAGAAGCTTCAGGTTTGAGTTGAGAGAGTAGGTTCTTTAGCATATCCATTTGCTCATCAGAAAAAATAGCAGAATATTGCTTCTTTAAATCTGCAGAAGATTCAGCAACATTAACAGAGGCAGCAGCTTTGCGCTGACTTCTAGGTTTCCAATCTGCAGGTTTTCCATGAATGAGCCAGCATGTCTCCTTGGTGTGGTAAGGTTTTTGGCAATGATCACACCATGTCTTGGCCTCTTTAGGACGGATAGTCTTTAGATCATTTTTCCGAGACACAAGAGCTGAGTTTAGATGAGGATCCTCAATTGTAGGATTGTTTTGCAACATCACTTTCCTCCTACTTTCTTCTCTTCTAACCATGGCAAAGGCTTCCTTGAGAGTTGGTAGTGGTTTGAGGCCAAGGATCCGTCCCCTAACTTCATCTAATTCTTTTGTAAGTCCCTGAAGAAAATCAAATACCCTTTCTTTTTCCAGCATTTGGTCATACAACAATTTATCCTCAGAACATTTCCATGAAACAGTATAGAACAAGTCCATTTCTTGCCATAACTCTACCAACATATTAAAATACTCGGTTACAGATTTGTTACCTTGTTGAGTATTACGCAAAGCTGACCTTATTTCAAAGCATTGGGCTGAGTTTTGGAGGTCTGAGTACATCTCCTGAACAGTGGTCCATATTTCATGGGCAGTTTTGCAGAAAAGGTAAGTTCTGCCAATTTTAAGTTCCATTGAGTTTATCAACCAAGCCATGACAATGGAGTTCTCTGCATCCCAGTTACTGTAGGAAGGATCAGTCATTGGTGGAGCTGCAGAAGTCCCTGTAAGATAGCCCATTTTTCCTTTCCCTTTGATGACAAGAAGGACCGACTGGTACCATTCTCGAAAGTTTAACCCATTTAATTTGTGTTGGGTTATTTGAATTGAGGGGTTTAGGTCAATAGGTTGGAAGGATGAAGCCATATGGGCTGGGTTGTTTAGGTTTCTATTGGAAGGCGAAATATTTTCTGGTGTGGATGGTTGTGTGGGTGGCGCATCAGCCATGAAACTTTATTGAATTTTCATCTACGATGAAGAAGAATTGGCTCTTGATACCATATTATCAGAAGTGGAAGAAATCATTCTTCTTCTTATTATTCAAATGATTGGTCTAGTACATAAATAGGTAAAACAGGGAAATAAAAAAGGAAACAAATAATAGGCAATTCCTATAATTATATAATAATCCCTATAAATCAGTAACAACAATAAAGAATAAATCATAGATCCTAATCCCTGAAATTCTGCAACATAATAATATCCCATAAATTTTGGGATTTCTATCCAACAGTATACAACTGATTCTTATCCTGTCCTTTCTTCAGTGGCTATACATTTATCTTAACATTCTCATTTCTGCTACTGTCATATTTCTCTTGTTGTCATTTTAAAGTCAAGCATTCATTACCATAGAGTATAACCACACATATAACTGCACGATAAAATTTGTCTTTGAGCTTAGTAGGTACTTTCTGGTCACAAATTGGTGGGGGCACTATAAATGGATCATGCTGGTCAACTTGTATTCTACTATTCTATAATAAAAATTCTGATCAATGAGAAACAATTCTGTTCTCTCTACTACTCTTTCTCTCAACTCTAACACTTGTGCTAAAATCAATTTGATCAGTCCCTATTTATTCCAGATTTACATGAACACTTTTATTGCATATAAAACATCTTTTTATGTTTGAAGATTTTTCTTAAAATACATGGCAGATGGCACATTACTATACTATCTCAACCCATGGGAAGCTGCTTTTCTCAAACTGTATTTGTTGTAACTTGCATTTGCAATATGAGATGATTTTCCAGTTCCAATTTAAGTTTTATGCTTTGTTCTGTGCAGGAAGACAATCAAGTTGTTCAGTGATTTCCATACCTCAGACATTATTATTGCCTCAGCACTTTGCTTGGTTAATGTAAACAGTTTTTTTCTTTCATTTTTCATTTATTTTAGTTTCTTTTATTCATATTTGACTCTATTGATTTCTTTGTGCTTCCTTTAGATTAAATTTACATATTTTTGATTGATCCATTCAAGTTTCCCTTATATTTTGGCTGGACAGTTATTTTGTTTTGTTGTTTATTTATGTTTTTTAGTGAACAAATCATATTAATACATAGTACAAGAACCAAAGCATAGGGTAGGCCATCCTCTTCTAGGAAATAAGGGTGAATAAAACCCCAAAAGCAGAGAAAGTCTCATAAGAAAACCAAGGCGAGGAGTATGTTACATGCCCTGAGCATAAAATATTCACGTACTAATATTCTAATTATCACATCTCATGTCATCTCTTCTTTGAACATTCTGCTCTTGAACTGAAACCATTGTCATGTCAATAGCAATATTGCTCATGCCATCAAAATCAGGTGCTTGTCACCTTGGAAGGTCAAGGTGATGGTAAATGAATAAACGTTTATGGAATCTTTTTAACAGGTTAGAGAAGATACCCAGTGATGGAAGTGACAATGTCATACAAGTCGTCTTCATCCAAATAAGTGGTTTTCATGTACAGTGGCTTGGTTTGGGTTTTATTGTTGGGAATTAAATTTAGGGTGTTGCTAACCAGTTCCCTTAAGACACTGGTTAAGGAATCAATGTATAGAAAGGTTTTACTGAAAATCACATTGAAATTGCATGGTAGAGTGCACTCTTGCACTTTACAATGAAAATATTTCCACTTTTAATTTCTTAACCAGGCTTTAAGGACATTGTTAGTATTTTCCTTAACTTTTGTATAAATAAAAAGTATTGGGCATTCTAATGCTGTTTGCTGTATCTATTTACATTTTTATTTTGAATAAAATAAAATTTGGATCAGTTCATATCATAGTTGTCAGTAAAAACATTCTATATGAATATGAAATTATCTTTCTGAGGGGAACAGTCCCTAGAATTTTCCTATTTACACAGTAAGTTGATTCTATTATTTTCCTGGTGAGACTTGAACAATAAATAACTTCTCTCCTCTAACTCTTGGGTAACCTTTATGGTTACAGAGCAACATTTTTGTTTTAATTCTTATGGTAACAGAAAAACTTTGGTTAATGCCACTCTACTTTTATCTGACTTCTAAGAAAAGGCAGTTGGTGTTAATGATTACAGACCTGTCAATCTCATCACCTGTTTGTATAAAATCATCACAAAGATACTTTCCTTTTAACCAAATGGGTTTACTATAGGAAGTCAGAATGCTTTGCAGGTAGACAGTTTTAAATTTTTTTCAATAAATGAGAAGCTTTTATACCATCATATAATTAAATGCATGTGGATTTTTCTTTATAGGTTAAATAAAAAGTTTGTTCCATATACCTGACACTTTTTTCCCCTTCAGTTTAGTCCCTATATAAACAACTCTACTTTTTTGGTCCCTACATGAAAAAAAAATCCGAGTCCTGGTTGTTTGCTGTACCTTCTGGGTCTCCAATTTGCCCACCTGGCCGATCAATGTCTTTACGCGTCACCAACGTTCGAGCCAAGAGGACTGTGTACCCTCCGGGTCTCCAATTTGCCGACCTGGTCGATCAATGTCTCTACGCGTAATCAACGCTCGAGCCAGGAGGACTGTGTATCCTCCGGGTCCCCAATTTACCGATCTGACTGATCAATGTCTCTATACGTCACCAACGCTCGAGCCAAGAGGGTTGTGTACCCTCCGAGTCTCCAATTTGCCGATCTGACCGATCAACGTCTCTGCCTTGATAACGCATAAGCCAGGAGGGTTTGTGTACCCTCCTGATCTCCAATTTTCCGAGAAGTCCGAACAGAATATATCCTCTTGATCCCCATCCAACCGAGCATCCCGGACTTTAGGCTAGTCCTAGGTGTATGGATGAGTGAGTTCCGGTAAAACTAATCAAGGTTGTGATTTCCGTGATTCTTGCATAGATTTGATTACGATCATAAAGGCGGATCATAGGCTCATTAGAGAGGGGGATCCACACGCATTTAAGGGAATGAGGATCGATGATCCGAATCACGCATATATGACCCATATAAATAAGGAGAAAGGGAACTGGTAAAAGGCAGGTTATTCTCATTTTTGAATGTTCTAGGTCAGGACGGCGGCTAGGTTCTCTTAGGGTTATATCACTAAGGGTTCTCCGGCTGCTATCCATTTACTGGAACATTTGCCAAAGTTATGAAGCTTTGACACTGCCAGATTTGCTGAGTTCTTCTCTGTCTTTGCTGTGATGGAATGATGGCATGTAGGAAAAAAAAATTAGCTAACTCAAGGAAATGAAAATCTGAAACTGTTAAACTTAGGCAAACGATAGGGACCATGTCATAAATGTTTTTCATCTAAGACCCAAACTGTGGAGTTTCTTTAATTGAAGGATCAAAATGAAAATGGTTTCAAGTATAGGTACTCAATTTTTTAATTTTACCTTCTTTATACATAGTATGTGACTCTTTTAGTAAAGTAGAGAATACACATTTATTTTTATAAATTTGTTCTATATATTGTTCATTTATATTAATACGATTTTAAATAGTTTTTGTTTATTAATAATCCTCAGTCGTATGAAACTCTGCTGAATCTTTTTATAAATGTATTGCTTATATATGCTAACATCAGCTTGTTCGTTATTATAGAAAATTGAGGAGGCTGGGAGTAATAAGGAAAAAGATGTAGATTTTCTTTCGTCCATCGAGGTAAGTTGCCCTACTTATAATTAATGTTATATCATATTTAATAAATATCAAATCTATATCAATATGTAGTTGCTCTGTATATGGATCATAGAATATGGAGTTGATAAAGCATTATTTATTCTGAACAGGTTCTGATTATTGATCATGCAGATGTAATAGCAATGCAGGTATGCAGTGATCTTTGTTTAAATTACTATAACTGATTTCCTCATCATTTTGAATGCAGTAACTGTTGTTTCTCATTAATGTTGAAACTTGCCAGAATTGGTCTCATGTGCATACAGTTATTGAACACTTGAACCGCCTGCCATCTAAGCAGCCAGGAACAGATGTAATGCGCATTAGACCATGGTACATTCTGTAATTTTTCTGCATTGAAGTTGGTTTTTATTATGTTTTCACCCCCTTGATTAGTATTAATGTTGTACAATTTTCTTTACCCATGTTTTCAGTTTTCTTTTTAAATTAATTGGAGGTAATTTTTTTTCTTTGTTTGAATAACACTAAGAATAAATTAAATTATAGAGAAAAAATAAATGAGAGAGGAGGATAAGATATACTTCTACGTAGAGAAACTAAAAGGAAACAGTTGAGAGGCAAAAAAATGAACATATGCTTGAAGACCTTAAAGAGCATGCACCAATCACGGTTGAAAAGAGGCCTTGCTTATTACGTGGAATTAGTGCACTAATCACTGTTGAGAAGTTTAAAAATGTGATTAGTGCACTGATTCCACAGACATAAAGCAAACGTGTATTCTTCTGCATGCAATTGTATTCTCTCTTTTCTTTTCCATTCAATTGGATTATGGAGAAGAAAGATATTCCTTGGCTTTTAATATATTCATTATTCATTTGTTTTATGAACTGCATGTTACTATCAGGTTATCAGAGGCAACGGGGTCAGAAGTAAGATATACATTTCTTGTTTGTTGTGATTCAAGAATTGTGTGTATTGTTGTACACATACCAATCTTATTTATAGAGTGAATATAATAAATGATAGAGATACTAATCTCTAATATTATGGAAACTAATCTAATCATATCCCTAATTGATAGTGAGGATAATAGCCATAATATATGTATCCACAATATCTGTAATATATTCACAATATCTGTAACACTCCCCCTCAAGCTGGAGCATATATATCATATGCACCAAGCTTGTTACAAATGTAATCAATCCGAGGTCCTTTAAGCGATTTTGTGAACATATCTGCTAAATTAATTGGAAGCAGCCGGAGGCCGTGGTCAGAGGCGGCGAACGGAGGCGACGGCCACCTGAAGCGACGGTCGGAGTCAGCGACTGGAAGCGGTTGTAGGTGGCGATCGGAAGCGGCGGTCGGAGTTGGCGACCAGAAGCGGCGACCGGAGTCGGCGACCGGAGGCGATGACCGGAGGCGGCGGTCGAAGTTGGCGACCGGAAGTGGCAG